AATTCTATGTGTCGGTTCGTGACACCCGATTCTCTAATTCTACGTGTCGGTTCGTGACACCCGATCCCCTAATTCTACGTGTCGGTTCGTGACACCCGATCCCCTAATTCTACGTGTCGGTTCGTGACACCCGATCCCCTAATTCTACGTGTCGGTTCGTGACACCCGATCCCCTAATTCTTCGTGTCGGTTCGTGACACCCGATCCACTAATCTCATTCTATTAATTCATCAAGCCTTCTTTTATACCAAGGCATCATCAATCTCATTACTTTAGTTCATTAAGCCTTCTTTTATACCAAGGCGTCATCATTAACAAGGGGTTTTCAAGATTTGGGATTCAATGGCTTCATCATGCTTATTTCATCACAATTATATAATCACATTCATGCAAGCATACAATTAAGCATATAGAAGACTTTACAATACAACCCAACACATATCATTCGCTATTAAGAGTTAACTACGAATAGTATAAAAACCAAAACCTACCTCCACCGAAGATTAGAAATCAAGCAAGCAAGTTCCCAAAGCTTTGTTCTTCTTCTCGTTTCTCCTCTTTCTCGTTCGATCCCCTCTCTCTCTCTCTCTCTCTTTCTGTTCTTTTCTTTTTCTTATTCAAACCCTCTTTCTTTTACCCTAATTAGTATATAATTAAGAATAAAAGATGACAATAATAACCCACTAATTTACTCAAGGTTACCTCTTTTAGCCCCCAAGTAATTGAGTTATTAATATTAAACCACTAACTTTATAATTATAAGCCGAAATAGTCAAAAACGTCCCTTAAAACATTAAAGAAATCCGACTCCGCCTGGGATTACGCAGCCTGTGACGGGCTGTCGTGCCTGCGACGGTCCGTCCTGCTGCTCCGTCACAGAGTTCAGAGACTCAATTCTCTGAAAAGTCTGTGACGGTCCGTCACGCTTGTGACGGTCCGTCCTGCTATTCCGTTACGAAGTTCAGAGAGTCGATTTCAGTACCCATTTTTCAGAATTTCTAAGTGTTTTGAAACGAGGCCCCCTCGACGGTCCGTCGTGCCCATGACGGTCCGTCGTGGGTTCCGTCATCTCAGCCTGTTTTTCCAGAAATAAAATCTGCTGCTCAAAACGACTAAACAGGTCGTTACACAAGTTCAAGCCTTGATAAGTATAAAATCACATTTTTGGGAGCGGTTTATCATTAATGAAACTTTTCGACGCGAAATCAAATTTAGTCTATGATTGAGAAGTTTTAAACTTTGAACGTATATTCCTTAAAGAATTTATTGATCATATGACATTATTTTACCAACTTACTCTCGTTAAATGTGTTGAAAAAGATATACTCCCTCCGTTTAAAAAAGGATGATCTAATTTGATTCGGAACGGAGCTTAAGAAAAGAAAGAAGACCTTTTAATCTTGTGGTTCTAAATTAAAATTATATCAAATGTACGAAAATGTCTTTTAATCTTGTGATCTTAAGTATGCCACGTGGAAAGTTAAAGTTAAAGAGTTGTCAAAAAAAGAAAGAGGTCATTCTTTTTAAAATAGACTAAAAAGAAAACGGGATCAATTTTTTTTAAAACGAAGGAAGTAATTCATTAATTATGTTTCTTGATTATGTAAATCTCCATATATGAAATATCACTTATTTTAAAATAAAATGAAAAGATAAAAACATTACTAATTACTAGCTTGACTTTGTGACAATGGAATATGTTGTCACATTGTTAACCATGAATCAATCACTAGATCATGTCCTTTTCTTGTCAACAATTGACACCTTCAATCTTTCATCTTTGTAATGATAACAAATATAATCACTTGCCACCATCAACATTGTTTTTTAGCTTTAATTAATTTGCAAAACAACAGGTGCAGATAGATGAAATTAATACATATTAGTACTTGAAATGTGAAGAAGTGATAGTTTATTCCATGTTTATCAAATCAAGAGTGAAATTGGTAAGTAGTATATATTGTTTTTAGCTTCTTTACACATTAATGCACTTGCACTTGCAATGAAATTAATGTTCCTGTCTGCTGAATAATAAAATTTTCAAGGAAAAAGAGTCTGGTATATCCCTAACTTTGTCATTTAGAGTTGACATAACTCTTGTTATGAAAGTGACTCATATATATTTTTACTTATAAACAAATGACTCACATATATCCTTTTCCTCTAACGAAAAAAAAAATAAAATTTAATCTTACTTTTTATTAGTTTTTCCTAAAATATAAAATCTCATATAAGTAAATTTAATCCTCGTCAAACATATTTTTTTTAAATTTTTTTTTATTTTAATGACTAATTTAGAATTATTATTTTGATAATCAAATTTATTTATGTTTCACTAATATTCTTGTAAACTTATTGTAGATGACCAAATTTTTTTCTTCGAATACAAAAATCAAATTACAATATAGACAAAAAAAATAGTTTAATTTTTTCCCTTTAAACTAAGAAATGAAAAAATAAAAATAAAATAAGAATAAGAAACTCAAATAATTATAATAAAAGAAGTCAGAAAATAATTTATGTATGAAAAAAATTAAAATATACCTTGAACTTTAATAGAAAAATCATATATACCCCTAAATAATTTTTTTAAAAAGTTAAAAATAATAAATATAAGTTTAAAACTAATTTTTTTAACTTCCGTTAAATAAAGGATTTATATGAGCCATTTTGTAACAGCAGTGGTATATGTGAGCCGTTTGTATAGATAACGACATATATGAGTTACTTTTTCAAAACGAGGAATATATCAGCTCCAAAAATAACAAAATTGAAGACATATCATACCCTTTTCCCAATTTACAATATAATGCTTCCAATAAAAGGGTCACAGCTCGTTGCCCCTGTACTATCTTCTTTGGAGAATCCACATGATCAAATGTTTAAGGTCAAAAATAAGTGACCATGGCCATTTTGTATTATTGGTACATAAGTGATATGGGTCATGCCATCACATGAATAAGTGACATTTTCAACGTCAAACTTAAGTTAACCTACAGGGGAAAAAAAAAACCTTGTTGAAGACTCCTCTTGGCCACTTAATTAACACATGCCTCTGAACCTGCATTGTGACGGTGCTAGTAAGGGCCCAAGGGATTTATTCGAACCCCTTTGGAGGTATAAATAGTTACACTGTTTATACATGACTAAAAATTATTGTTTATGTTTATATGGTAGATGTTGAATTTTCTTTGATTTCTTCATGTAGTTCTTCATATTTTAAATCCCCATAGTAAAAAATTTGACTCCGCCACTGACCGTATCTCGGCAAAAGAGACGTGCATACATATATAACAAAGGTACTCAAATGTAAGGAAGACTCTGGTGGTCAAAGTATCTCATGTTCATTGAAATTGTAATCCTTTCCTAAACCCTACATAAATGCGGAATGCACGGGCCGTTTCATTCTTTTTCCACTCCCCTATTGGGTCCACTACAACAAAAATGACCATTAGCAGCATTTAATTCTTAATTGCCGCTAAATATGTATTTTTAGTGGCAATTGTGACTCTTTATATATATCCAAAAAGGCTTTAGCGACATTAATTTTAATGACATTTAACTAATGCCGGTAAAGACATTAACACTCTTTATTAGTGTCAATATTTAATACTGCTAAAAGTTATTTTTGTTAAAGTGGCGTAGTCTTATTTTGAGTTAGAAGGGACATCTTGCAATCTCCAATTGCATTGGTTTCATGATAGATTTTTTATGACTCATCTCTGCCCTATTCATGATATGCAATCATGTTGATGAATCATATTGTGGTATAGATGCACCAATTTATATGACAAGAGATTGTATTAGGAAGCTCCATTCAAAGAGAATATTCTTACATGACTCATTTCTTCAGTTGGAGAACATTCACTTATGAGAAATCTGTAATGAACTCTGAGAAGTCTCGATTTTGTAAACCTTGAAATGGAATAACACAAGGATAAACTAAACAAGTCATATGAAATTAATCTATATAACATTAAATTTTGGTTCATGTGCAACTATTAAACCATGAAACAGAACTACCTAGTTCATTTGCATCTTTGCAAATATCAGGAGGCCAGTGTCATGGATTGATGGACTTGAATATCTGTCATTCTACAGCTTACTGGTTCATATCAGTTGCCAAGATTGTTGGGTTCGGGTCTTTTTCCTTTTCTATATGGATTAATAAAAGTCCAATTTGGGTCTTTGTCTTCTCTTGGACTTTGAGTTTTCTTTCGCTATTGCCTTGTCTGCGCCTTTCCTAACAAGAATGAGGTAAGAGTACCAGCTGAGAGCAATCACTACACTATGTCCTAAATTATTTGATTGAACAAAGAGAACAAAATAAGATAGCAACAGCAACAATATAATAGTGGCATAGATAATTACATGGTTCAGTCCATCTCATTAGTTTAATCACTGTAACAAAAATGACTATTAGCGGCATTTAATTCTTAATTGCCACTAAATATGTATTTTTAGCGTCAATTGTCACTCTTTGTATATATCCCTAAGGCCTTTAGCAACATTGGTTCTAATGACACTTAACTAATGCCAGTATAGACTTTAGCACTTTTTTATTAGTATCAATATTTAATGCCGCTAAAAGTTGTTTTTATTGTAATAAATGTCTCTAACGTGATCTTGTATATGATTTTGGTATCAGATGTAGAGAATTTCTAGTTTCCTGATTCCTTTGTTAATGCTCCATATGAGTCCAATCTAACAAAAGGCCGTGGTCTCAAAGCCAAGAGACATTGCATATGCCACAATGGTCATTCCTTTCTTATTTCTAAGATTCCTCCACCTGAACTTGGACCTGGATTGCCTTTTCTAATACCAAACAGATGGTTAAAAAAATAGCTAATCATACTGCTGATGAGAAGATGTTCCGCACTTTCTTCTACTAAGTTAGCAGTACAACAAGAACATTTTGAAGGAAGACACACTCCAAATCTTCCAACACTAGTTTCCACAAACATTTTTTGACATCTCGATAAGAAAAGAGTTGTCATATAAGTAAGTATAGAAAGAGCATTTTTTGAAACTTCATTTAGAAACTTTTCTAATCCAGCAGGGGCCAAATCTTTTCTGATGGTAATTTAAGTTAGAACATACACTTGTTCAAAATTTTCTATTTTGCTAATTCAGAACTAGAATGGCATGAAGCGTTAGTAAATAATACATCTATGAAAGGTTTAGAAGTTTCTGATGGTCAACTTGCTATATATCAAGTTGATATTTGATTCCTTAGAAATTTGCTTCCACTTTTGAGCATAACATTTTGTCAAATTTCAGATATCTAACCATATGATAAAAGTCTTATTAGTTGACATTCTATAATCCCCATCTTCTGGTCAGAATGATTTGAAGGACCAGATAAAATTTAGTGCTTCCTTCAATTCCATTAGAATATATTCTTGCAGCAAGGCTACAGAAGCATTATATGTATGAAGAGCATATTGGCAATAAAAGATCACACATGACTTGGTGCCAAAATGCATCTGACATTTCTTTTTGGGCTATAAATACAGAACCAAATAATCCACAAGTCATGTCAAGGCATTCAAGAGAAACTAAAATGTTAAGAAGAGAGGCCTTACCTGAAGTGAAGAGTCTTTGTTTGTTAGCCAAGGATGACTTGCCTACATACCCCTCCTCCCACAAGGTTATTATTTCTTAATTTTCCTTGTGGGGTTGCTATGCTAGGCAGTTATCCTGGCTATCTTGACAGGCTGTTCTTCATATCACGTTAGGCCTCTTCTTCTCGTAATTGTGCAAAACAATCAAACAAAATTTTCATTGTTTTGGGGACTTTCTGCATTCCTCACACAACTAAGTGTAACTTAAACTAGCAGGAAATGAGAGGTGCAGTCTATGATGTCCTATTCTTATTCTTCCTATTCAGGCTCAGCCCAAAAACACGCATATAATGTGAATTTGTGATCTATACTACATAGCGCTTCACTTTGCTCTCCTTCCTGATGTGGCATTTGCTCAAGTATCAAATGCACCCATTGTTAAGAAGTTTTCCAACTTAGAACCCTGTCAGTCCTTCTCGACCCACCCTCATCTGCATCCCCAGTCATGTGCGCCACATGTTCCCAACTTGCAGTGTTCACTTGAAAGGTACTTCTGATTATCAGTTGTAACTGACCTTTTCATTTTCACAACACCAAACAGTAACATTGAATGCCACACTTTTGTTTCCTTACTCGTTATTCTCTCTCTTCGATATAGGTATATGGGACAAGGATGTTATCAAAGTCTCACTAGCTCATGAGGTTCATCCCGTCGCTTACTAACATAAACAGATCAATTCAACCAGGCTGCAATAGTCACATGGAGAAAAACTGACGTATTAAAAGCCACCGAACTCTTCAGACATCTTGTAAGAACATCAACCTGCTGTTTATACACCACACAAGCTAAAAGTGAAGCAAAAATGAAAAATATATTGTTTCATCTTCAAGTCTACAAGCTCTAGTGTATATGTAAATTTATCACCTAGGTCTTACTCCAAAAACTCGGTTGTGCCAAACTGAATGGAGTATCATGTGAAACACATCATATTTAGAAGGCTTAATATTCCAGAGAAAATACTGTTGCACCTGCTTAACTCTCCCGTGCATCTGCTTATATTTCTTATCCGGAATAGACAGAAGTATGTTTTTCAAATTTGGGATGTCCTTCTCCTGGACAAATACAGCAAAAGATTCCCAGTTTAGAGTCTCAAAGAGCGGGGGCACATAGTTATCTGATAAGATCACCGGGATACATCCATAGTAAATAGCTTCTACCACTCTAGGAGAGTTGACTTGAGAACCTCTTGCACATATGCAGTATTTGCTACTCTTCATGTACCGTAAATAGCTTGCCTTGGTTATTCCACCATAAATCTTCATGTCAGGATCTCTGTTTTCCCAGTGCTTCAGTAGTACAGGGCGGAGATAACCATGCATATGTCCAGCAAAGAAAGCAAGGGTACGCCGTTTGGATGCTGGTTTCCCTCCAAGTTCAGCAAGAGGGTTCGTGCTCAAGCGAATGTTCGGTTGTGGTAGAGACACATCTTTACCAAGCTGGAAGCCACCTCTCAGGTCAGCATTGCATAAAGATCTTATGCAATTACTCATAATTTCATCCGTCACCGCAGGGGCCTGAAGATGAAAATCAGTTTATGCTATAGCACTCGAAGCATATTTCAGAATAGGATTTGCATTGATAGAGATTCCAAAATAAGCAAACTGTGAATATATTCAAGAAGGATGAGGTGCTTCTCTAACACTAATTCAGGATTTAAGATCACGCGAAAGGATGGGAGACATACCCAGTCATGACAGGCAACAATAAAATGGTCAGCTCCATCTGTTCTATTCCAGAAACGATACTTTTGCGCAATCATATCAACATAGTTACTTAAAAATTGAATTATATTTGTACGGTTGTGAGAATCAGGCACGTACAATGTCAACTTCAGTGATCGGAAACTTATCGGCAAATAAAATAGGTGAGCCTTTTTAGGGTTCTTAGTGACAAATCTTTTGTTTTCTTGAAGCAGCTTTATGAACCAGCCCTCTGAAGCATATATTCCATCGAGAGGTCCGGAATGGCATATGGGTGTTTCCCCTTCAGCATAAATGTAAACCTTGAGAGTCTTCTCCATCAATTCATAACTCCTGCATTTTGTATACATTTGATAGTTGAATAAGCTTCAAGCATTGATACTTTGTTATGTTTCTTTATATATGGTTGACACAATAAGAAGAAAATTTATAGGATTATCACCACATTAATACCTCAGAAACCAACTCTTATAGTTTAACCGTGGCTCGATATAGTTTAACCAGCTCTTAGAAGGACATGAAGCAAATAGAAGGTCCAAGCTCTTAATTGATAAATCAAACAATCAGTCCTGATAATTCACAGGTTAATACCTCGACTACGATACTTCCACTGCGTTTATATTATACAGGTTATTCAATTGGTGAACAGAGGAATCTATTCCAATAGTTCCACTGCATAAAGCTTGTAGTTTTATGATGTAATACGAAAAAATGACTGTTTTCAATAGTATGCAACTCTTAGAGAAGTCATTGGGATTACAACACAGTTGTTGGACAAGCACGAATTATCATATTAACATGAACAAAATCCACAAGTAAGGTATATTATGGAGTTGCTAACCTTTTAAACATGGACAGATTTCTAAATAGAGGGGCATATAATCGAGGCTCGCTCTGTAAGAGAGGCGTATTCTCGATCAGATCTTTTGCACGTAATAGTTCTTGATCTACTACCGAGGACCATCGTGGTTTCTATGAAAAAGTTAAAGTTCAATCAGGGACAAGATCAGAAAGTGCAAAGCTGTATAAATGAACTCATTCCTTAACATACCATTGAACAAAATGAAGTTTGACTTTGTTGCAGCATATAATTCATTTGAGATATTGATGCCACATTTTTTCGTGCTCTGTCAGACCTTTCAATTACAGAGGGAATATTTCTGAGGCAAGATTGGTTTTGTCTGGAAGATGTTAAAGGAGAGATTGCCTGAGGTGCAGCAGTTGTGGTTATACGATCTAGTACAAAATTATTTTCAGATGTAACATTAGGTGTTTGCATAACGAATTCAGAAGCATGAGCAACCTTCTGTGGAAATTTGTCTTCAATTTCAGTATGTTCAATAATGGTAGCATCATTTGTCTTTGACAGCTCAGTTTTGGCAGTAGTCTTGGAAAAGGTGAGGTTTGCGGATACAGTAGAATAAGCAGATTGAATGGCGGCTACTTGACCTTTGGAGGGAAATAGAAAATACTGAATGATCAAAACCATAACAAAAATTGATGCCACTATCCATAGCAGTCTTTTAGTCTCCAAAAAACTTGCATATCGAACTTCAATTCCCATGTTCAACCAAATCACAGTTGAGTTAATATATAAGGGGCTAAAATTCTGAGAGTCAATGTAATAATTGGGAGGTAGTGAAGAAGGAAAACAAGAAAGTAAAGGGGAAAAAGAAGAATCTTACAGAATTGATCACCTTCAACTTTAGCTATACTTTCTGCTCCTTTCCGAAAATCGTTATTTTCCGAAAATCGTTATTTTTCGAAAAGTCGTTATTTTCCTAACAGACACATTTTTTCCAAAAGACACAACTTTCTCGATAAAACGGGTCTGAACAGACACGTTTCTTGCTGGAAATGGCTATAAAAGAAAGTCAATTTTTGATTTTTCATATACTGAAATGTTCCTTCTCTGCATATATTTTTCTCTCAAATAAATTAAAGTGTCGATCGACTGAGTCTATGTGATTTGTTCCTGTTCTGAAGTTCGCTGAAGTTAAAGAAGTTTGAGGTACCGCTATATTAATCCGTTTTATCTTGAAAGAAATTAATCCATAACCTCGGATACGATTAAATTTCGTAAGGAGACACAATAATTTTTGTCCAAGTAGACAAACAGTGACAAGTAGGACAAAAGAATAAACTTTTTTTTTTTTTGTGAAGAAATATAAAGAGGAACAGAAAATGGATCATCATGATTCATGATGACCAAAAGTCTAGAAGACAAAATGAATTATTTTGCAAATTGCTTTAGCTACTGTTAAAAGGTGAATGATTTGAGTACTGAATTCCCAAAAAAGTCAGCAATCATTTAAAATCACTATGCACGATCACCAAAAGATATTTTGCATAAATAATCACACACCGATGTTTCATTAGGAATATTATTTCTTTTTCAGCAATCAAGGTTTAGGTAAAAATGGCCTGTCAAATGCTTGGAGTCTTGGAATAACCGATAAAAATTACGTGACCAGGAGATAATAGATTCAGGCCTTGAAACAACCATTGATAGAAAATGCAAAGTAAGGTCTTGTGTGATCGCGGATCCTGTACAGGCTGCCCGTTTTGGTCTGTCAAAGGTTTTTAGTAGTACAAGCCAGTGGCTTAGGTTTCTAGTATATACAGCCAGTGGCTTACCCAAAGTGTGGGAATGGGGATTCGAAAGCTAAGAAAATTATGTCTTTTTCACTGCTAGACCAAGGGTCACATTTGTATTATTGGGATTAAAAGTATATATATACAATTTTAAAAAGTGATTAAATATACATATGTGTGCAATGTTATTTTTCAACGAAGTGGATTCATATATGTGAACCCACTTGACCCTCTGTGGGCCCGCCCTGAGTACAACAACACTAGCAAAGTACAAATATGTACAATAGATTTGTGCAAATAAGAGTAGAGATATGCAAGAAAACTAAAGAACAAATTGTTTCTTCTCAAGTCTATTTACAGGAAATAATAAGATACACTGATGCAACTTTTTACATATTTCTCAAAAGAAAGCTGCACTAAAACATCTAAAACTTTGAAACTCTCTGTGTGTGTACATTTGTCACCTAGTTCTTACTCCAAAAACTCTGTTGTGCCATATTGAATGGAGAATCATGTTGAAAATATCATACTTTACGGGCTTGACGTGCCAAAGGAAATGCTGCTGCACCAGCTTAACCCTCCGCTGCATCTCACGATATCTCCTATCTGGAATTGATAGGAGTAGGTCTTTCAGTTTTGGAATGTCCTTCTCTGGAACAAAAATGGCAAAAGCCTCCCAGTTCAAAGTTTCGAAAAATGGGGGTATGAAGTTATCTGATATAATCACTGGGACACACTCGTAGAAGATGGCCTCCACCACTCGAGGACTGTTGACTTCATAACCTTTTGCACATATGCAGTATTTGCTGCTCTTCATGTACTGGACATAGCTTACTTTACTAATCTTGCCGAAAATCTTCATGTCAGGATCTTTGTTTTCCCAGTTGTTCAATAGGATAGGACGAAGGTAACCATGCATGTTGCCAGCAAAGAAAGCAAGAATCCGTCTCTTAGAAAGACGTTTTCCTCCAATTTCTCTAAGGGGATTCTTTTCTACACGTATATATGTTTCTGGAAGCGATACATCTTTACCAAATTGGAAGCCTTCTTTAATGTCAGCATTGCACAAAGCTCTTATGCAATTAGCCATGATTCTTTTTGTTTCTGCAGGGGCCTGAGGAAGCAAATCTCAGCTTCAGTATCCGACAGAAACTCATATATCTCAACTATAAAAAGAATGTAGAAACACCGAAATTATAAGATGAGCTTGCATGTTCACATGCAGAAATATAAGCCTCAATGAGGAAAAAGGGTGCACACAGCAGAGCATTCCATTAAAGATGAAAACAAAAGATCTTGACTGATGGATAAAAATAAAATCTACGAGTATCAAAATGGATGTTGTAAAACAGTTTAACTCCAGTTAGTAGGAAGAATCCAAAACTTACCCAATCATGGCAGGCAACAAGAAAATGGTCAGCTCCAGCAGTTCTGTTCCAAAAGTTATGTCTTTGGATAATGACGTCGAGATAATCACTTAAATATCGAACTAAGTTCCTGCGACTGTGAGAATCAGGGACATATAAGGTCTCCTCTAGCATACGGGAGCTGAACGGTAGATAAAACAAGTGAGCCTTTTTGGGGTTCTTGGTAACAAATTTCTTGTTTCTTTTCAGGAGCTTCATAAACCAACCCTCAGAAGCATATATTCCTTTAAGCACTGGCGTATGGAATACTGGTCTTGCACCTTCTGCATAAATGTAAACTTTGAGAATCTGCTCCATCAATTCATAGCTCCTACATATGCATGATGTGTGTCAGATCAGAGAAATGCACCTCAACCATATTAAAAGACTAAGTAAATGCAAAGCCACAAATGCCACCAATTATAAAGAGATAACTAACTGACAATCTCATGTATGTCAAACTAAAAAATTTAAGGTAGGAGACTGAGGTCTGTGTTCCACACCTGTCGCAGGGTGCTCCTTTTGTGAGGAGCTGTATGAAGTATGCAAGAAAGCATCTTCCTATTATGACTATTTACCGAAATTTAGTATATGCAACAGACTACTGGCTCAAAGCAAGCATGAAATTCACTGGTTCACCAAGAAAGAAAGTGTTCATAATGATTGAAACAAAAATATTGAAATATAGCAGCTCCCACAAAGCATAACTATCGTTTGATGAGTAACAAAGCACAAATGTCTAATCTAATTCAGTACTACCAAATACACCTCCAATGTCAGAAAACATCCAGATTACACGAGGTGTGGATTCATCATATGCATCACTATTTTCTATTACCTCATAAACACTGACATATTTCTATACAAAGGAGCATATAAGCCAGGTTCATTTCCTGCTAGAGGAGAATTCTCAATGACATTTTTTGCATGTAGTAGTTCTTGATCTACATCCGAGGACCACCGTGGAATCTACAGAAAAGATCAAAAGAACATAATTAGAATATCTAGGAATTCATTCGTCAATTACACAAGTCATATCTGACTACGAGAGTACCAAAGTAACATATATACATACCATCGAATGAAATGATGTGCGAGCTTCTTGCTGCATAACATTCATTTCAGCTATTGATACAACACTATCTATTGGCTTGTCAGACTCCTTCATAACAGGAATTTTATGACCGACTGTAGGAGCATGGTCAGTGTGTTTTTGCACAGGTAAGTTATCACTTTCACGTAGATGGCCTGTATTTCCTTCTTTTTCAGATACGTTCTGGTAGGAAGTTATCAAAGGAGCTTCTTTCTTTGCATCAAGATTGACCTGAGGTGTTACAACCAATGGTGGTGGTGCAATAGACAATACTGTGGGACTTATCTCCCACGACTTAGCTTCCATCGGCGCTGGAGAAATACTGCCTCCTCCATCAGTATCAACCACACGCGATAAAGAACTTTCAGATGTACCATTTGAAGCTTGTAAATCATTTTCAGAGTCAACAGCCTTCTCTGGAGGTAAGCTACTATTTCTTCCTAAAGTTTCCACATTTGACTTGTTGTCCAGTTTCGAATCCTTAAAAGGGGATTCATCCTCAGGGTCAATGTCCTCAGTTAAGGTATCACCATCGCCAGAACGTTCATTCATTGGAGGCATAGAACCATCCTCTACCTCTTCATTATTTGCATCAGAGAACTTTGTGCCAGATTGATCTACTCTTTGTGAGCTGCTTATTTGACCCCCATTGGCAGTAAATATGGAAGACAAGGCATAACCATATGGAAAACCAAAATACTGAATCATCAAAGCAAGGCCAAAAATCACTCCCAATAGACATACTAGTCGTCTAGTCTCAAACAGATTATGATACCGAATTATAGAGCCCATGTTCAAGCAGCACTCTGAGTGAAGAAAGCACAATACTGTCCCTGGATAATTTTCAAATCCCAAATTCAGTATCGCCACATAGTATTTTTCTATCTGTTTCACAATAACTAAGTACTTGAATAACACAAAAAGAAAACCACCACTAAACAACAACATACCCCGTGTAATCCAACAAGTAGGGTCTAGGGAGGGTAGGGTCAGCAAGGGCGAACAAAATTTTAACCTTATGAATTCTGAATATTACAACGATTTCAAGTGTTAATAAATGGGTTCTGAACATACCATATTTAATAAAATTGTTAATACAAATACACTATTTGAAGAAAAGTGTCTAAGGCATCTAGCTCTTCCCCTGTTAGGGTGTAGGCAGATCTATGTCGTTGTTTCTCATAAACTCTCGACTCAAAAGAGAAATAGATGAAACAGGTAGCGAAAATCATAACAAAATAGCAAGATACAAAACAAGTGAAGTAACAAATAATACTAATACACATTGCGTTATTACAAAATACGAATACTACTAATAAGGGAAAAAAGAGAGAAGGCTAGCTACCTGAGATAAAAGTGCGACAACACTCAACTACAGAAAATCAGGTCAAAGTCCGTCCCTAAGCCTAGTCGCTGACCCAACTCCATACCTTCAAACAGTTGTTCTCAAGCTCATGAAGAACCAAAAGCAGAATCATAATTTTGGCTTTGTCACTTAATAAATCAACCATAAAAACACAAGCTTTTTAGAAATACAATAATAATTAAGTCCATAACAGACAAAACAGAAACAGTAAACACCAAAAAGATAATAGCTTTCATCCCAAATCAAC